TACATTAAGTGCTAAGTTGTACAAAAAATTAAATCAACACTTTTCTTCAGTAAACTTTTATACCAGAAAGAGTGAAGACAATATGATGATAAATGAGGTCGTTATGGTGGTGATGGTGATGATGATGACGGTGATGGTGATGATGATATGATGGGCTCTCTACATAAGCGCCCATCTTTTTCATTTCCTCAGAAAACATTCGGCTTTAATTTATTTGTTCTTCTCAAGATTATTTGCTTTCCATATCAAATTCTCTCTCATCATATATTTGCTGGCTGTCAAATTGCCATCATCCATCCCAGCAATTTCCACCTCACCAACTTTTTAACCGTACAAAAATTATGACGGAGGCGGAATGATTAACCTGTCATCATTTTTTGCTATGCTTGCTTTATTTCCAACTACCTTTTATTTTTTCATTCCTGGTCACCTCAACTTTTTATACCGATTAATTTTTTGATTACTTAAAAATTTTGTTCTCCTTAAAATATTCCTTCTTTTGTTATTTCTAACTGTTTGTGTTTGTTCGTGTTCATACTTTTTAATTTTTGATCTACGCTCCACATGATTCTATTTCCTCTGCGATGGAATTTGTCAGACAAAAATGTCGGTCGTCACCAAAATCTAACGCCTACATATATATTACATACATTATATATTTATATTATATTATGATACAATAATATTTTGATGAATCATCAACATCTCAATTAGATTAGAGTTTTTATTGTTCTATCATTATATTGGAACAATGAACATTTGCAATAAAATGAAATGTTGATGAACACAATTTTTTGGTATTTAATTAAAAATTGTTTCAAATATTTTGCGGATTGCTTGTTGAATGGCGTGGTATTTATCAAACATTGTGTTTGTTTAGTAGAAAATAAAATTTAAAAAAAATTAATAAAAAATTTGGGTGAAAATTTTTCAAAGATTTTCAAAGAATCTACTTGAAAATACGTGGAAAAAATGTGGAAGATTAAATGAAAGTTTTTGCAGACGATGATGGAGAGGGAGCATTAGGCTGGTTGGAGGTGGAAAAACATTTTATTTTTTAAATTTGTGTTTGGATCTTAGAAGTCCGTCTTTTTACTTTTTTATTTATTTTATGAAAAATTATCAAATGTTTTACTTTTTTACACAACATTCTTCTCCAAATTTAAAACAAGAACATGAAAGTGTATCTATATTTTATTTGAATAATCTTTATATTTATAACTAATACTAAGAATGATAGGTGAAGAAAGTTGAAATAAAAAGTCGAAATGAAACGTAAAATGTAACAATTTTCAAACTTCAAGTGTAAAAATTTTAATGTAGGAATTTTTTAATGTGCTGAAGCTTATTTGGAATTAGTTGCAAGTTGTGAAACTTCGTAAATTCAAACGCATTCCGTCAAATGTTACATTTGTTAGAAATTTACACAAAAGACTCGATTTAAAAGATTCTTCGAAAAATCTAAACTTAAAATTCAACTCTCTCTACGTTATTACTAAAAGTGATTTAAATTTTTTCGATAATTTTTCAATGATTATCGCTAATTAATTATGCCCGATTTATTTATACTCCAATAATATTTTTGTTACTATCTGCTTTTAATTAAAAAAATTACACTTTTAAATAAAAATTTATATTATTATTGATTGATAAATTTCTGTTGAGAAATCTTTTTTGTTTATTTCGCTAAATTTTTAGACTGGCTGCATAATGCAGTGTCCAATTTTATTTTTAAAACTTGTGAAATTTTAGCTTAACAACGAAGAATAATGATAAATATATAAATGGAGATTTCAAAGGCTTGGTTGTAAGAACGACATAAAGATTTTTGTTGTGTTGGTTTTACTTATTTTTTTATTATTTTCATGTTGAAATTTTCGATGAATAATTTCTTCAATTTATTATTTTTCTACATCTTCAACAGGTATTTGGCACAACTCAAAACAAAGAAAACTGCAAAACGTTGTTGAAATAGAATTTCATCACTTATTTTGAACTGGTGTAGCACTCTCACTTGCCCCCGTCATTGCTGTCTGTCAGAGTTAAAAATTTAGTTTGATATATATTAAAACACTTGTATTAATTTCAAACATATTTATTTTCACAAAATATTTGGTTTAAAAAAAACAAACGAAAATATACATAGTACAGTTAAATGTTTTAACGTATTCATTCGATGATGTATACAAGAGCGTTCGTGGAGTTTGATTTAGAGATCAATCAATCAATCAGTAGATGAAAGTTGTGACAGAGGGAAGCGACGAAGTATGAGATGCAGTGGTGGATGGAGATGATGGGTGCTGCAATGTCTCCGTAGATATAAATCTGTGACAACAAATTTTACTCTGCGATACGTCATTGTGTTGCTGATGTTCATTTGTCAAGATGGGAAGGTTTTCTCGGAGGCTGGAAACTTCATAAGCATCATTTCGAGTAACGGTTATGTTGCTTGAATGAGCGTTTGATTGCGTGCAGTTACTTCCATAGAAATTATGATGATAAGTTTCATTGGTCAACTGAAGACATCTATGGTCATTTGTGGTCAGCTGAAGACATCTGTGGTCATCTGTGGTCAGCTGAAAACATCTGTGGTCATCTGTGGTCTGTTGAGGACATCTGTGGTCATCTGTGGTCTGTTGAGGACATCTGTGGTCATTTGTGGTCTGTTGAGGACATCTGTGGTCATCTGTGGTCAGCTGAGGACATCTGTGGACATCAACGTGGAGGATATCTCTGTTCAGTCTTTTGCAGCATTTGTGCATTCTTCTTGTTTCTCCCGTGTTGACCACTTTTTGAAAATTTGGTTCGCAGTGCTGATGTGTCTGCTGGTGATGGTCAGGAACGGCAGCAGAGTTCTCCTCTTTCTGCTCGTTTGATTCAAATGAACTTCTGCACAACAATTTTTTGCTGCTTTTTGTTTTCATCAAATGGCACTTGTGGCATATAATTGGACAAGTAACTGCTTTCGACGTTGTTTCCCTGCTGACGTGAGGAGGGGGAGGCAGGGGAGGTGAGAGTTGAGGTTGGTCTTGCGGTAGTTGTGCCTGACATGAAACCGATATCATCGGGTTATTGGGAGGTTGTTGTAGTCGCAAGTGTTGTTGTTGCAACAGTTTTTGTTGCAATAGTTGTTGTTGCAATAGTTGTTGTTGTTGTAACTGTTGTTGTTGCAATTGTTGTTGTTGTAATTGTTGCTGTTGAAACTGTTGTTGTAGCAACTGCTGTTGATTTGCCAGTTGTTTCACACCTGGTTGTTTAGTTGTCTTATTTTGAATTGATTCTGGCTGTCCATGATTGCTGCCAGCTTGTCTGCACCTTCCAGTCTTCTCATCTTGGGTCAGCTGGTTGGACATTCGCACGGCAGCGGACTTTATCGAGGCGATGAGGACAGAGAGGATTTCATCGTTGTTGCATTCGATTGCGTAGTGCAGAGCCGTGTAACCCGCCTGCAAGAAAAATTCAAATTGTTAACAACAATAATTTCGAGTGTTATTTGTTAGAAATATATTTTAAACTGTAACAAAATCATTTTTTAAATTGATTTTTAACCTTATCTTTCAGGTAGATGAAGTCAATGTTCTGCGATAGCATCTGGGACATGTTCTTCAAGTTGCCCTCCTTGACGGCCTTGAACCACAATTGTTTTACTTGCTCGAGTGATAGCTTGATCAGTTTCTGGCTTTTGGCAGTCTTTCGCTGAAATATGGCAAGGTCGTCAAACGATTTTATTTTTTCTTTGGTATCATTTTCTTTCGAAAGAAGATTGTGGCCGAAATTTTCAGTTTGTTTGGCGTAGCATGACATCTCCACGTATCTCTCCCGGCCGTGCACCGATGAACTTCTCACTAAATTCTAGAAAGAATAAATAAAGCTTGATATCAATTCAACTAAAGCACAAAATTTAATACACAAGACATAATAAAAGATAGCATATGCATTGTTGTGCGTTAAGCTGTACTCGCACAAAAGTCCTTCATATAATCAATTTGAGAGCAATGCGATCCATCAACAAACTTCCTATGCATACTACGCCAATAAAATGAACTTGTTGCTTGTTTTTAAACCTTCCTGAGTAAATATTCAAAATTCCTCAAATAATTAATATTAACACAACGCACCTTTCTGTTGCGGTTGCCGTTGTTGTTGTTGCTGTCGTTGCTGCTGTTGGATTTACTTTTGTTTTTCAAATTCTTCAAACTCATCAACAAATTTGTATCGAACTTCATTCTCTCAACTGTCACTTCTAATTTAAGAGAAAACTTCGGAATATGTTTCTAGCTCGGGGAAAAATAATTTTAATTAAAATTTTTTTCAACAGAACACCTAAAAAACTTTTCAATTTGAAAACATCGAAATCAACTCAGGTTGGATCGTTTAATAAAACATCAAAGCGCATTAAGATCGAGAGCTCGTGTTGTTCTTTATATACTTTTGTGACGGGCACATTTCGACACATGTGCGCGCGTGTAGACACTTGCAGAAGTACATACCTCATATAACAATGGTTATTGTGTAGCTAGCTCGTGCAAGAGTGATAGACAGACAGCAGGGTAATAATGAATGGTGCCGCATATCGACTCCTTCCTAATTGCCTTGTGCTGATGTTCTCGCTGGCGTGGGAACGAAATATTTTGACGTGTGGCTTTCTTCTTCTGCTTATGAATTATCGCCATTGCATGTGTCTCACTTACATGGCACACACGCGCGCACACAGGCACACACTCGTATATGAATACTTAATTTAAATAACTATAAATGTACCTACATATAAATGTCTAATATAATATAATACATTTTGTTCTCTATCTTCATTTACTTAATTTGTTTAACAATTTATTTTGACAGGGTTTAATAACGTTTAATAATGGATGTTTATTCGAATGAAAGGAAAGTCGTGCGGACTGGCATTACATTTTAGCATGCATGACTGGCGTTTCCAGGCAAGGCGATGTGGTGCTGGAAGTGTTAAATAAGTATTATGCGAGTTGGGAGTGAGTGTTGAATAAGTATGAAGCCAATTGGACCTGCGTGTCTCGGCTCACTCGAATGACAATTACTTCTTTCGGGCTCTCCAAGGCTCCTTCTTTAACAGCTTTAACTCTATCTGAACGTTTTTTATTTCCATTTCGAATTAAATTTTTTAAAAATTTGCTTGGTTAAATATTTGCCAGTCTAACTTATTTCCCTAATTTCTAGTAAAAAAAGAAATAAGGAGTGAATTTAAGGTACTTCAAACTTGTAACTGGGACGATATTCTATGATAAGAAATAGAAATTTAATAATAGCAAGACTCAAGAACATGCAATAGCAGATCGTAATTACTCTGCAAGTTTGTCTGATCATATTGTTTCTGCCGGTTCAATGCGTGAGAAAGCCAGGCTCCTAATGTGTGCACACGCATTTTTAATACTTCGCACACTCTCTCGCTATTCAATGCCACTACACGATTATTGTGTTGTGTGTATATATATCTCTCACTATTGTGCCTTCTCTGCTGCTTCTATAATAAATTATATATATAAACATACATATATATATTATATATTTTTTTATTATAATATAATTGTTTATGACATAGTGAATGTAGTATGAGTAACTTTCAAATTGATGTGATTTGTGTCGTATCATTTCGTTGTTGAACCTCGCGTTATCAATCTGTCCGATCGATGATGACGTCATTCCAACCGTGAAAATATCATCCAAATATTTCATTTCATACGAATTTGAATTTTATAATAATAATAATTATTATTATAATAATTTTTAATTATAATTATTATTAAACCGTGAAAATTGAAACTTGCATGATGAAAAAATTACTAGCCTTTGCATTGAGTCAACACATATGGTGTCACACATATGGTGTGTGCCTTTATGTACCCATGTTTGTGGTACACAATTTTTGGTACATAATATGCTTTATGGTATTTCTACTTTTGTACTAGTAAGTAAGTAAGTACACACAGAGAGTGAAGTACCTACTAACTAGCAAAAAAGGAAGAGTCAGACGTCGTCATCAATCATTATTCATTGAAATTAAAAATATCAGCTGACAGCTGAAATGAAAATAATATAAATATAAATAATTATTGTAGTAATTTATTATGAATATTAAATAATCGTAATATATGCGGGAATAAAATAAAAAAATTAAAAAATTGAACGAAAATTGAGATTTTTGGTAAATTTAAATATAAAAAAACAAAGATTAGGAATAAAATAATTTTTTTTCATGGTTTAATTGAGATTAATAATAATGTGTGTGAATGTGAACACACTATCTTGTTCGGCGTCTTACATGCGATGTTCATATTGTGAAATGTTCCAAGGTGCTTTCTCACACTTTCTTTCATATTATTTATCTCTTATTTAACTTATGTTCATGTTTAATAGTCTCTATTGTTCTGTATTTTTGTGTTTTGTTTCCTATTGTTTTGTATTTTTGTCTATTGTTGTTGTGTGTTGTTGCTTGTTTGTCTAAATTTTCGCTTGCTTTCGTTTATTACAGTGGTGTTGTGTGGTGCGAATGATATGAGGAAAGTTGTCGTTGTTTTTGTTGCTACTGTTATGTTGTTGTTGCTTTTGTTGTGTTGTTGTTGTTGTTGTATGCGTGTGTTGTTTTGTTGTTGTTGCTTTGTTGTTGTGTTATTGTTGCTTTGTTGTTAGTGTAACACAACACACAACAACCACACACACAACAAAGATAACACACACAACAACAACACACACAGCAACAATACATACAACAACACACACAATAGCCACACAGTGTTGTTGTGTGTTGTGCAACAGCAAACGAGCGTGTTGCAGTAAGAGCGTGCGATAGTCACAGTGAACTTCCAAACGACAACATTATGAAATATCTGTAAATGACAAAAAAAGGGTCACTAGTTTATTTTTAATGTCTCGATGTTGTTGTGTTATTGTTGGTCATGTTGATGCTGATGTTGTTGTATTGCTAGTGTTGCTGGTGTTGCATGGTTGTTATTTTTATATTTATTATGTTATTGTTTCTGTGTTGGTTTTTTTGCAATGTCGTTAGTGTTGGTTCTGTTAACATTTACATAAGGGTGATGTAATCAGATGTGTAAATGGTAGAATTTGGTTTAGACGGTGGGACTGGTTAGCCAGATAGCTCAGACGGTAGAAGAGCCATGTCTCTCGTCATTTTTATGACATGAAAACCTGGTTCAAATACAATTTTCCCTCAAAGATTGCCATACCGTGTTGTCTACGCAAATAACATATAAAAGTTTATAAGAAATTAAACATGAAATTGATCATGCTTAACAAACACAAAAATGTTGTTTTGATATACATATATATGATATATATATAGTCAAGTCGGTTATTAGCTTTATTATGTTTTTGATACTGATGTTGTTGAAATTTAGAAGCTGATAAAATGTTTTGGTTGCTGTTGTTGGTGAATTGTTGATGAGTTGTTGTTGTGTTGTTGTTGTTTTTGTTGTTTATTTTGTTGATGTTGTTGCTGTTGTTGGTTTTGTTGTTATTGATGTCGTTGTTGTTGCTGTAGTTGTTGGTTGATGTTGTTGTTGGTTTTGTTGATTTTGATGTGGTTTTGTTGTTGTTGTGTTGAGATCACAGCTTGAGACCGTAAACTATTGTCCCGCATTGTTGAGAAGTCATGAATTGCTATTCGGCGTCATCCTAGATTGAAATTAATTATCGCCCTTGATTGACACTCGCTCGCCAACCTATCATCATCCTTATCTACGTCATTGTTCGTCGCCGTTGTCGTTGTCATCATTCTCACCATCATCATCAACATCAGCATCATCACAATTTGTTTATTTTTGTTTCTGAAACTCGCAATGTTTCATTTCTTTTCATCAAATCACAACTGGAATAAAAAATATTATAGAGCGCCACACACAGACACACATACATAAAAACATACACACACACACAGACACACACAAATGTAAACAACGCGTGAGGCACTTGGGGGTATAACAAAGAGACAAGAATCCGTCTGCATTCGAGCAAGAGTTCTCATCATATAGCATGTTGCAGTGTTCTTTCAGTTCGTTAACTTGACCTCAGTTAAAGTTAAAATTATTTATTTAGAATCCTTCAAAATTATAGTTAAAATTAGCTACAAGTTAAGGTTACAGTCAGTTATTTGATGCCAGTTTCAGTTAAGGTTAAAGTTTTAGTCAAAGTTATCGTTCGTCTTATCAATTTTCGACCAAGTAGTCTTCCTACTGAGTTTTTTTTGCTGTAACTGGTTTGTTTTGTACTGTAATTTAAATGTCGCTAATCTACGTAGCGTAAAAATATCTTTTTTAAATAAATATAAATACTATTGAAATACCAAGCTTCTAGCCAAACAAATTAAATTTTCAATTTCAAACAAACTGTGGTTTGGCGTGGACGGCCAATCACATTTGACGAACGATCCTCATCTATATGATGCTAACCAATCATATTAAACTCCCAACAACGATGTACAACCTCTAGATACATGTTTGAGAAGAATTTTCAGAAATTCATTACCCTGACAAGCTGATGATTTTAAAAAATTGTGTATGATCGTCTAGCATGGTTGAACACACTCAACTCATGAACTCTATAGCAGTAGTAGTGGTAGTAGTAACAGTAGCAGTAGCAGTAGTAGTAGTAGTTGTTGTTGTTGTTTTTGTTGTTGTTGTTGTTGTAATAGTAGTAGTAGTAGTAGTAGTAGTAATAGTAGTATAAATAGTAATTTGTGGTAGTAGTAGCGGTAGTTGTGTTAACGACGTGTATGTTGTTGATTCCAAACATGACTGATTGTTTGTAATGAGAAATTTTAATGGTTATTGGCTGCCATGGCGCTAATTAACACACAACCCAGCACAATCTGTGCATATGTTTGTGTGCATTTGATTTTTTTCAAGTAGTAGGAGTAGTATTTGTAGTAGTAGTTCTTGTAGTATTAGCGGTTTTAGTGTGCTTTAAATTCATACAATTCTATGTTATAAGCTATTCAAATGGATGTCAATTATAATAAAAATTAATTTTTAGCCAAACTCTTCATCCGATCGAGTTTTTGATTTGTTGAATGAATTAGAGTTAAACTAGTTATTTACCTAAACAAAATTGAGTTACAGTTGAGGTTAAAGTTATATATTTTAGAACATTTATAGTTTAAAGTTACTATAACTTAAGTTAAAGTTACAGTTGGAAATAGCTGAAAGAACATTGGGCATGTTGATGTTTAACAAAAGGAGACCTGCTAGCTGAAGTCTAATTAAGAAAATAAAAAATTGATTTATCAAACTATCGAGTTTTTATTTGTTATTTACATAAATTGATTATTCAAAAAAATCAATAATGGTGTCAAGAAATCTCAATAAAGCAACAAAAATGCCTATTAACTAAGCCAACCGTCTAACCAAACAACCAGCCATCCTAAAGAGTCATTAAACAAGCCCGTCAATTTAATCCAGCCCTAACCATCCAACGGTTTAACTATCCAATGACCAGCCACACAACAACTAACCACTTAACATTTAACCATCCAATAATCAACCTTTCAACCAGCCATCTTTCAACCAACCATCCAAAAACCAACCGTCTAACAATCAACCATCCAACAACACTGAAAACTATTCATCCAACAACCAACAACCAACCATCAAATAATAATCAATCATCCTATCAAACAATC